TAGGGTCAAATATAAATATACAGTAACATTAAATCAGTCGTAGTGATAAGAGCAGACCAGTCTCCACAAGCAACACTCGTTCATGAGTATGACGGATGAGCCAGCCATCACTGCGCTCGACCATATTTTAGGGAGCCCAATGACCCGGCCCACCACGCCGCCACATGTCTGGACATTTTAATGAGCACGATTACACATTCCACTCGACCACGTCATACCTACTTAAAATTACTATACGGTAGTTACAGTATTCGCTATCATATTTCTGTAGTGAATATCTGAAATTGGCCTTTGTGAAATAATTCCTACGTGAACGAATGAGAGAAACTTCAGTGTGGCCACAATCCCGGCAGATTGCGATGCGGCCGGGGATTTTAGTTTGCAAAGGTATTCATGGACCAAATGACATGTACACCGAAATATGCGTAACAGTGTATTCTGTTGCACACTAGGTTACTTTAATCTTCTTCAAATTCAAAAATCATTTATTCATGTAGTAGATTTTTTCCGTTTATGAACGTCAGATTTTTTTATATTATAATTTCTATAGGACACAGTTACCTAGATTCATTTTCATTCATAATTTAAGAGCTGTGCTCTTGTCGACGGAGCTCCCGCCACCTTCCACGATCTTCTATCAGTCCTTTTAGCTGTTGATACGACACGACTCCAACTTTTTCTTTAACTTGCTTGATATCTCTTTCCATCTATTTTTCCTTCTATAATGTTGTTAATTAGTTCGTCGTGTCGTATCAAGTGCCCCAACATTTTTCCCCGCACATTTTAGTTACCTAGATACATTAAAATAATAATTACATTTAATAATGGCTAGTAAGACAAATCCAATATTGTGTACTAAGCACTGCCGTATCTAAACTGTGTCCCCCACCTTATATCTTCCTATTGTCATTTAGTATATAAGATCAATATTTCTATGTACATATTGTCAGCCTATTATCATCTGTAATATACATCGTCTCAACCGACAACATCGTATTATTACCCCGCAACAATTTCCTTGCCGTCCAGTTCAGTATACAGATTCAATTGAGATGAACTGTCGAGAAAACTCAATTGAATTTCTCATTTTATTTCTTGTTTCTAATCTGAGAATGATTCCTGGAACTAGCGACAATTTGCGATGGATAGAGTGTTAATATTCTTCTGTTTTATTTATTACTACCTACTCGCTTCGGCTTCGCATGGGTGTACATGTATTATATATACAAACCTTCCTCTTGAATCACTCTAGTTATTAAAAACCGCTTCAAAATTCGTTGCGTTGTTTTAAAGATTTAAGCATACATAGAAACGGACAGACAGCAATAGCGACTTTATTTTATACTGTGTAATGAAGGGGGTTGATCTTTACTCGGTGCTAAAGAGACCTGTAACACTGTGACCTGTATAGCTCTATTGTGCTTGCCCTTTTTTAGAATTCGCTACCTAGGCCCGTCAAGGAAAAGAATTGAAGGATATTCTTAGGAGCGATGGTTTTTATCTCCTCAGAATACTTTCCAAAGGAGATATTTCGTTTATGCATGAGTGGGCTACAACCACATAGGATGTGTAGTGGCGTTTCCTGTTCCATTTGGAAAAATCTGGAAATCTTTGTTAAGGTCTAAGTTTGTTATGTGTTTATTTAATTTGCAGTGTTCAGTGATGCATGTATTGTTTTTTTTTCAATAACATTTGTCTGTTAGTATAGGCTTTTGAATGTAATAATCCCAGCATTTTCTGCCAGTGATTTAATGTTTCCTGCTTAGTTACTAGTTTGAGATTTTCCATCTTCAGGCATCGAGCTACGTTAAAAAAAGTTCTTTCTTTCTGGAAGGTTGTAAATTGTATTTTTATATTGTTTTTAAATTTTATAATCGTTTTTAGTTATTAGTTTTAGACATAGCCCGAAGAATTGCGATACTGAAGTGGCAATGGGCATGGCACATAGCTCGTAGGACAGATGGCCGTTGGGGCAGTAAAGTCCTCGGGTGGCGACCACGGACCGGAAGACGCAGCGTGGGAAGGCCTCCAGCAAGGTGGACCGACGATCTGGTTAAGATCGCTGGAAGGCATTAGATGCGAGAAGCGCAGGACCGATCGTCGTGGAGATCTTTGGGGGAGGCCTTTGTTCAGCAGTGAACGTCTCAGGGCTGCGATGATGATGATGATAATTTTAGATATCCCGTCACAACTTTAGGCAGCCTATAGATTATTTTTCTTCTAGAAGATATATATTGCATTTTTATATTGCCTTTAAATTTGATAATTATAGTTTAATAACGTATTTTTCTATAATATTCTATTGTATCAGTGTCGTAACAGAGTCATTCTTATTATCTCCATATATTATTTTTAAAATCATCAAAACTTCTCCCTTATCAGGTATTTTAGATACTTTTGCTTGACATATAGTTATAGAATCTTTGTCACATACACACCCGTACGAAACCGGGGCAGTTCGGTAGTATATTGTAAAATTAGATTAATGAGTCCAAAACTCATTAATTACCAGCACTCCGATAAAGCACATAAAACACATAGAGAGCTGATAAAATCGCTATATGTTTGTCTCGCTTCCTGTAATATATTGCCTCGTATTTATAATAAATGTGCAGCCAAATTATGACTTATTAGCTTTTGCCTGCGGCTTCGCTCGCTTTAATTTATCCCCTTAGGGGTGGAATTTATCAAAATACTTTCTTAGGGGATGCCTACGTCATAGTAGCTTTATGCATGGAAAGTCTCAGTCCGATTGAAAAAAATACGAGCTGAGTTTCTTTTCAGTTCTTCTCATCTCGATATCATTCCGAACTGACGGTAGATTTGACATATCATAAGAGTCTGTAATAGACCTACATGAATAAAGATATTTTGAATTTGAATTTGAATTTGATCGGTTTCAAATTGACAAAGTGTCATACAAACTTTCATCCCCTATTTTATCCCCTTGGGGGTAGAATTAATCAAAATCCTTTCTTAACGAATGCCTACGTCATAACATCTACCTGCATGCCAAATTTCAGTCCGATTCGTCCAGTGGTTTGGGCTGTGCGTTGATAGATCACTATGTCAGTCACCTTTGAGTTATATATATTTAGATTTATTATTCACTCAGAACAAAATATTGGCAATATGATTTTTTTTTTCAATAAACTTTGGTCGTAATGTGCATCTAATGTTTCACCGGTTTTCGATTTTTTTTATACTATGGTAGTGACAATCAAGCATACGGCCCATCCGATGGTAAATGGTTACCGTAGCCTATGAACGTCTGAAACACCAGGGATATCATCGCATTGCGAACCCTTAAGAAACCCTTCTTGAAAAACCCCATGCTGTAGTCTCGTGGGAAAACCTCGGCAGGAAGTTCATTCCACAATGTAAGTGTACGCGGGAGGAAGCTCCTCTGAAACCGCACTGTCCGAGACCACTTAGGTTCCAGCGTGTGGGGATGAATTCCCTGTCGATATATAAAACAGCAGAGCCTGTCAGTAAGCAGTGCGCTAATTTAAAAACGTAAAACGACGGGAAAACAACTGTATGTATCTCAGTTTTATGGTTGAGTTTATTTAAAATCAAGTGTGTTGAAAGACGTCGTATGGTATTCGTGCGTGTTTAACACACTTGGCTCTATTACGCCTATTCGTCTTCAAGTGGGACTGAAATTCTACCTCGTGTGTTAACCAGCATAACGCACTTATATATACCGTAACATAGTTTTAAATTTAGAATGCGTTGGACAGTCTTTGATGAATGGATTCTTTGTTTGACCAAATGGAATTTGATAGAAAAATATTTTGTAGGAATACATAAAAATGAAATTCTTTATTTAAATTTGGCGCGTATTCGCAATTGTATCAAACTTCAGACAGATATATTTTATTTATTTATTTATTTTAAATTTAGAATGCGTCTTCAGATCAGTCTATAATGTAATTCTTTGTTTGACCAAATGGAATTTGACAGAAAAATATTTTGTAGGAATACATAAAAATGAAATTCTTTATTTAAATTTGGCGCGTATTCGCAATTGTATCAAACTTCAGACAGATATATTTTATTTATTTATTTATTAAATTTTAATGCACAAAAACAATGTGTACATATGGCGGACTTAATACCTTGTGGCGTTATGTACCAGGCAACCATGAGTGGTGCAGAGAAAGATTGTTGGCGGTGCACTAATATAAATGAGAAATGTAAAAAAAAGGTATACAAATATAAAGCAAAATATTTTAAATATAAATTTCAATAAAATAATAATAATAATCATTCCACTCGTTATGTCGGTGAACGGTCTTATCCCAACCAGTCTGGAACAACTTCTCAGACGGTTGGGATTCCGGGGCGGCTCACTTCCGGGAAAGATGCAGAAAGCGGTGCTCTTAGATTCTGCCCGCATTGTACGCCGGTTTCTCTCGCTGGGGCCCTGAACCCCGGCCGACTGTGCTTCTGCCGGGGGTATGTTGCCATCTCCTCTCCTTAAGAGGGGAGATGAGAATTTTTGAAAAAAAAAAGTAATAAACATATATAAATACAAATATATATACATATATTATTCCGATTAAAAATATCCAGAGTCTGAATTCGATTTGCCAAAAAAAAGGTTCGAATGTCTTATAATGTATTTTCTTTGTTTTTACAAGTCTTTATAAGCTTATTATACAATTGAAGAATTTATAAATGATAATAATGTTTTGTAGAAAATATCTAACTTAAAATTCATAGCGCTGACAATGTTATCTGATTGAACAGAGACTAAGTGCGTAGCGGTTTCTATGTTGATTATCGCATGAAATAAATCTAATTAAAACAATATTTATTTAAAATAGCAACACACAAGTTTCTTGCTTATTCTTCTTGTCATGAGTCTTCATTCCAAATGAGCGGTAGAATAAAAAAATTATGACTATTCAAAAGTGCTTATATTAAGTTTATTTGAATAAAAAATATTTCTATTTCTATTAAATAATTCTTAAGGATGTATGTTTCTATTACAGAAACTAAATGGAAGGCAGTCGAAGGCATCTGCACACAAACGACACTGGTTGGTGATTCAAAACATGATACAGTACTAAGATGAGCGGGAAACGAGGGCCGTGCAAGAGCTTCGCCATCAGCATCATACAGATTATCACCATTATATGCCAAGGTAGGTGGAGCTAAAGCGATCTATTACATTTTTAATTTTTTTAGATAGATCGATAAATTATTTATTCATCAACACATCTGTACTGCCCTATACCAAGCGTCTGAGCGTAACCAATGGCGACAGCTGGTCGACAAGATAGCTTAGAAGAGCAATTTTCAGCAGTGTCGGAAAGGTTACGAAGAGAAATACATATATTATGATATAGTAAAATATAGTTTACTTATTTAAAAAATGGAGGTGGCTTTATATGTCGCAAAGATGAGATTAGATTTCTATTAGATTAGATTAGAGAGGATTTAGAGTAAAGAGCTACAGATAAATCTCCAACACTGATATTATGTTGGCTCCTATAATTAAATATATATATATTATATATATATAATAATAATACATATGTATTATTATATATAATATATATATATATATATAATAATACATATGTATTATTATATATATATATAATATATAGAAAACACCCAGACCAATACAAACAATCACACTCAGGAATACAAATGTTTGCACTGTCCGAGTCGAATCTGCGACCATTGGAAGTAAACCAGTGTGATTAACTGCTAGATCACCGAGGCCGTTGATAAATATTACTGTATCTAAAAACGTTACGTATACTAACTTCCCTATTAGCATTATTTCTAAATACGTCGCTGTATCATTTTCCAAGAAATAATATCGACTTATCTCACTTCAAAGCAACTTTTAATAAAGTCTTCCTATTAATTAATTATATTCTAAATGTTGTTTCTACAGAAGTTATAGAAGTTATAATTATAACATATAAACGAGCCTTGTTAATTATTACAATATAATAATTACATTCCGTCTGTCCGTCGTCATACGAATGAGTGTTTTTTAATCTGTTCGCGCCATCTATTGACGACTGGGCGCAAATAAAGTTAACGTGAGCGTGATGTTGGTTATAAATGGCTTCACTTTGACAATTCAAATAAACGCAACGTTATACCCAATTTACACTCCCCTGCCCACTCGGGAGCAGCGCGAGAGTGGAAACACTTCCCATGCCATTGGCGCTGCCACTCGCGCTGCCCGGTGCTCCCTCGATTGTCGGTTTTTCGTGCGCGTGTCAAAGGACTGGCAGCACGAGTGGCAGCGTGTTTTTACATTCAGCCCTCTCGCTCAGTTGTCGCCCGGCAATATTTCCGGCAGCGCGAGTGCTAGAGGAAGGGGTCATTTCAATCATAATCTTTCTATACTGTACTATGGACAATAAATAAATTACCCTGGACAATTAACACAGCGCCATCCAGTCCCACTATAACCAGAGCTTGTGTTATGGGTACTAGACACTGATATAAATACTTTTTTATGCAAATACATACATAATAACATAGAAAACTTCCAGACTGACATAAACAATCATACTCATGAGTACAAATGTTCGTGCCGTGCGAGTATTCGAACCCGCGACCATCGGGATTGAAACGGTGTTCTAAACTGCTAGACCACGCTGTCACAATATCGAATTGTGATTATTCTGTATTCTAGTTGAGTGGCAGAAACAAAAAATGCGACTATTTAAAAATGCGTGTATTAAGTTATTTGAATAAATATTATTTCTATTTCTATAAAGAAAAATATTTTAATCTTGATTACAAGTATTGATGACATAAGGATGACATCCATTCTTATCTATCAAGTATTCCTATTCTCTACCAGCGTTCGGGTTCCCGGAGAAATACAATCCCGGATTCTTCAAGTCTATGGTGAATAGATATCTTCTGGGTAAGCGCACTACATCCTAGGTTCAACCATCATTTCCCATCAGATGAGGTAACACCAAGCGCAAACCCATTAATAATAATAAAAAAATATTATTGTTATATATGTTTTAGAAGTTTATTATTAATTAGGTATAGTTTTTGCGGCTTTACTTTTGTTTCCTTTCTTAGGGGATGCCTACGTCATAGTAGCTTTATGCATGCAGAGTCTCAGCCCGATCGGTTTAAAATTGACAATGTTTTATACAAACTTTCATCCCCTATTTTATCCCCTTAGGGGTGGAATTTATCAAAATCCTTTCTCAGGGGATGCCTACGTCATTGGTGCTTTATGCATGCAAAGTCTCAGCCCGATCGGTTTAAAATTGACAAAGTTTCATACAAACTTTCATCCCTATTTATTTTATTTCTTTCTATTTTATCCCCTTGGGGGTAGAATTAATCAAAATCCTCTCTTAGCGGATGCCTACATCATCCATCATCCAACATCTACCTGCATGCCAAATTTCAGCCCGATCCGTCCAGTGGTTTGGGCTGTGTGTTGATAGATCACTATGTCAGTCACCTTTGAGTTACATATTTTAGATATGTCTCCCTTTGATGGGGTGCTAGGCTTGTCTTTGCGGGTGAAAATTACCAAACAATGACAACTATAAAAGAAAAGATGTTGATGAAGATTTTTTAAAAAGAAAACAAAAATATTTGGACAATTCATGTATGTTAGCATTTTAAAGAAGTATGAAAGTACATAAGGTGAAGTTGTTATTATTATTATTAAGTATGTACGTGCACATGTGGTGTTCTCAGCTATTACATGCACTGTAATCTTAGAAACTTTTAAAATGTATATATTATTTAAATTATTAACCGGGTCTTAACACGAATAATTTTATGGCAAATAAAGGTATTTATTTACCTCTCTCGAAGTTTCGACTAGGTTGCACTAGCCGTGGTCACGAGCTGACTGGAGTAGCAGCGATGTCAATGTAGATAGGAGACAGCAGTTTTTTCTTCTACCGTCACTAGATTGTTTAACGAAAGTTCGCGACACACAGCACTCACGGTATCCGTACACTTATCGACTGTTGATGCTACAGAACTTTGTTTAAATTTATTTATGACTGGATTCCACGCAGAAGATAATTTTAAACCATCCTCTCTGTTAAAATTGGGATGTTTTTTAATTTCAATCGCCTCCCGGACCATTCGTGGGTAATAATGGCGATCAGTAGAGAGGACCTTAAGCGCATGTAGTTCAATCCAGTGATTTGTTCCAGCGTTCAGTAGATGATCGGCAATCGCTGATTTGTATGGTTGTCGATTTTTGACAGCTGCGATGTGTTGTGCCTTTATTTGCCATAAAATTATTCGTGTATAAGACTCGGTTAATAATTTAAATAATGTATTTTAAAATGTATTTCTTGGAGATAGAAATGAAGTTGTTAATGATAGAAACAGGTATGAAAGACATGGTATAAAACCTTCCACTGTTACTTATCGGGCTGACTATAGACTTGAGGATTTCAATAGCATATCGATTCTTTATTAACAGAATAGAACTGAAGTTATTAGTGACAGAAACTGGTATGAAAGACGTTTTATAAAACCTTCCACTGTTACTTATCGGGCTGACTATAGACTTGAAGATTTCAATAGAATATCGTTTCTTTATTAACGCAATAGAAATGAAGTTATTAGTGATAGAAACAGGTATGAAAGACATGGTATAAAACCTTCCACTGTTACTTATCGGGCTGACTATAGACTTGAGGATTTCAATAGCATATCGATTCTTTATTTACGTAATAGAAATGAAGTCATTAGTGACAGAAACAGGTATGAAAGACGTTTTATAAAACCTTTCACTGTTACTTATCGGGCTAACTATAGACTTGAGGATTTCAATAGCATATCGATTCTTTATTTACGTAATAGAAATGAAGTCATTAGTGACAGAAACAGGTATGAAAGACGTTTTATAAAACCTTTCACTGTTACTTATCGGGCTAACTATAGACTTGAGGATTTCAATAGCATATCGATTCTTTATTTACGTAATAGAAATGAAGTCATTAGTGACAGAAACAGGTATGAAAGACGTTTTATAAAACCTTTCACTGTTACTTATCGGGCTGACTATAGACTTAAGGATTTCAATAGCATATCGATTCTTTATTTACGTAATAGAAATGAAGTCATTAGTGACAGAAACAGGTATGAAAGACGTTTTATAAAACCTTTCACTGTTACTTATCGGGCTGACTATAGACTTGAGGATTTCAATAGCATATCGATTCTTTATTTACGTAATAGAAATGAAGTCATTAGTGACAGAAACAGGTATGAAAGGCGTTTTATAAAACCTTTCACTGTTACTTACTGACTATATACTTGAGGATTTCAATAGCATATCGATTCTTTATTTACGTAATAGAAATGAAGTATTAGTGACAGAAACAGGTATGAAAGACGTTTTTATAAAACCTTTCACTGTTACTTTTGGGGCTGACTATAGACTTGAGGATTTCAATAGCATATCGATTCTTTATTTACGTAATAGAAATGAAGTCATTAGTGACAGAAACAGGTATGAAAGGCGTTTTATAAAACCTTTCACTGTTACTTATCGGGCTGACTATAGACTTAAGGATTTCAATGGCGTATCGTTTCTTTATTAACTTCAATCTTATTGTTTTTGTAAAGTTTGCCTTATTGTTATTGAGTCAAGTTTTGCTTCGTTTTTGTTTTACAAAATATGTTCTATCCAAGTCTGAAGGTTTCTACCTGGGAGTTTGTTTAACTTAGGCTCATTATCGCTAAAATATCGGTTTACAGTAACTGTTTGTAATAGGAAACACAAGCTTGCTTATCCACAATAAAAGACAAATTAATAGAACAGAAATTATTAAGGTGAAATTAGATTTCGTATTACTCATTCTAAATGTAGGTGTTGGATTATATATGGTGGAATATAACTTTATATTTCTAAAATAAAAGTAGCCTAAGTTGCTCCTTATTACATCAGCTACCTGCCAAAAAGGGTCTCGTCAAAATCGGTCCAGCCATTTCAGAGATTAGTAAGAATAAACAGACAGACAGACAAAAATTGTAAAAAATGTTATTTTGGTGTATGTACCGTATTTCTATTCATACATGTATACAACATATTACAAACAGAAACTCCAGTTTTATTTATATGTATATATTACTTCTTAATAATATGACGAGAGTTTCGGTGGTCTAGCG